GCGATCTAATCAGCCTTTCTCTACATTCATTAATAAAGTGTTTACAAAGACAAACAGTTATGTCCTTGTCTTTTAGGAGAGGCATGTGGTTTACCATCGTTGGTGGCTGCAGTCAATGGTGACGAGCAAATTCTTGACCATAATGCCAAACGTCCAAGGTTGGATGAGGAAAATACCGCGGCGGAGCAAGTCGAGGTAATTTTTTATCTCACTTTCTGCGGTGTTCGTTTAGGTATACATTCGATTCGCTTGTATAGGCTGAGAGTCAGACAAATGTTGTGGAGAAGTCAACTATCTTGCTGGATATATGCTGCGGTACTGGAACTATTGGCCAGTGTGTTTTACAAGAGTATAGAAGAAAAAATAAGGTGAGCATCAGCTCCAAAGCCTCCAGGTTGGTTCATTCGTACTGGTTCAGGTCTGCTGCATTGGAGTCGATATAATTGAGTCGGCCATTGTCGATGCGAAAGAAAACGCTTTGGGCAATGGGATGAATGAGAATATGTTAGTCTGGTCATTTTTACATTTGTCCTAGACCCTTTTTTTCTGTTAACACGATTTTAGGTGCCGCTACGTTGCTGGAAAAGCTGAGGATGTTTTTCCTTCATTGCGTTCTCACATTCCTTCTGGCTTCGATTTGCAAGAATCGAACGTTGTTGGAGTGCTGGATCCTCCACGGTGTGGAGTCCATGAGAAAGTTGTACACGGATGCCGTAAGGTATGTTATTTTTTTAGAAACTTTGGTATTTCTTTGTGTTTCGTACGTAGCTTACTCCCTTCAAGCATATTTCGATAACATTTGCAATTTGAGTACATATAAGACGACGGTACTTTTCATTATAGATGGATACAATGCGACGCTTGGTTTTCGTCTCATGCAATCCTAGTGCAGCTATGAAGAACATCGTCGACCTCTGCCGTCCAACGTTGGTGTTAAAAATGATTTTTTTTTCAGAGTTTCATCCTTCACAATTTTACAGAAGACCAAGATTCGCATACAGTCTTCCATTTTTTTGCTCTAGTCAAAAGATCTAGGGATTGGTTCATTTCTTTACATTACCTGCAAACTTATCATCTCTTATCCATAGCTCTTTTCGGACTCCCACTTACTGATAGCTCAATTGCTTCTACAATATATCGTAATATTAGGTTGGCTAATAAATAATTTCGGTCTGACATGCAA